CCTGTTTAGCCTTGGTTGGTTTTGAATTCTTGATCCTCCTGCCTGTCCCTCCCAAGCGACTTGTAGGCGCGCATTATTACCCCGGCTAAGGCTGTCCCAACCCCGAATCCGGCTAGGCAAACGAGTGGCACGTCTCAGTGCCATCTCCATTTGCAAAAATGAAGAAGACTCCAAGCGTTTCGTCACCTGGAACCCAGGATGCCAGGCCTCCAGCCTCCTTTTCCTACAGCGCAGTCCGTAGACAGTCATCCCGGTTCCCTCAAAGCAGGGAATCCTACCCTGGACCGAGATCCCAGGCCCCTAGGCTCCCCTTCTCACCGGCCTAGCGAGACCCGAAACCCTGAATACCGCGAGCTGCAGCCCTCCGCCCTCCGCTACCGAACGCCCCTCACCTCTCCCGGCGCGGAAGGCGTTTTCCCACGCTGGGACCTCCGCCGGGTTTTTGGTGATTTTCCTCCGGACCCGCCCCCAGGATACTGATTGGTCCACGCTGGCTCCGAGCTTCCGCCTGCGTTTGCAGCCCCGCCTCTTTCCGATGAAGTTCCCTTACTTTCAAAAATTTCTGCTTTCTTGGAAGCTTACATTCTTCAACGTGACATTTCCTGCGTCGTTTTCAAATAAAAGTCAAAGCCCTGAATGCGGGTGGGAGTGGGAAGGGCAATTTTTGCGGACATCTTGCCGCTGTGTCTCCTGGGAATTGTAGTTTTCTCATTTATTTTCGCTTCACAAATTCCTGCAAGTTTAGTGGCACGCAACTGCATAGTATATTATCATTATTTTTTAGGCAGGGTCTCACTATGTAACCCTAGCTGGAACTCTGTGTAGACCAAGCCGGCCCAAGCGCTGACCCCCAAGCGCTGAAATTAAAATACCACGACTGCCGGGCGATGGTGGCGCACGCCTTTAATCCTAGCACTCGGGAGGCAGAGGCAGGTGGATCTCTGTGAGTTCGAGACCAGCCTGGTCTACAGAGCTAGTTCCAGGACAGGCTCCAAAGCCACAGAGAAACCCTGTCTCGAAAAACCAAAAATAAATAAATAAATAAATAAATAAAATATCACGACTCCCAGACTCCCGGCCCCCCCCTTTTTTGAGAAATGGTTTTTTACATCCCAAACTGACCTCGAAGAGATAGGAGCGCTTATAGAGAAGGAATGTTTTGATTTCCCTGCCCTCTTATCTCCACTTCCCCAGTGCTGAAATTACAGGCGTAAGACACTAGGCCTTGACCCTATCAATTTCTTAAATGCTCTATATGTAGAAGTGTATTATATTGCTAGGTAGATACTCTTGGGTCCCTTTAAGGAACGCTGGCTTGTGGTTCCAATTCAGAACCCCCAGAACAAGGGATCTGTTTGCTTCAGTTGCCTGGAGGCATTACTCTGTTGGACATGGACCGTGAGGGGCCAAGAAGAGGGCAAGTCCCTGTGGGAATCTCCTTTTCCGAGAGTGTCCAGCTGTGTTTAGAGTTCTAGCATCTCAGCAAGACCATGAGATCTTCAAGCTGGCGCTAGGGAGGGGTGGGCACCCCTGGGATTCCAGACAAGTGAAGATTGAGGGTTTGGAACTTGTGACCCTAAGCCCCGAGTCCCAATACTTAGAAGCAGGACAAGCCTTCCGTACTTGGTAGAAAGGTGGATTTTTGTGTTCCCAATAGTGTTTAAAGCTCGACACAGGCAGCTTAGTCTCAGGTGGGAACTGGGATTCGGGTTGTCAGGGTTCAAAAGAAAAATGAAGGCAGATGTCAGATATCGGAGGGTGGTCTCTACTGAGATATGGGATCTGGGTCTTGATTATGCCTTCCTAATTCTCTAGAACGTTTCAGGAAAATGAACCATGGAAGAAAGAGTGAGTGGGGAAGCCTAATGGGCAGTGGCTTGGGGAGGAGAACATCGATGCGCACTACAGGGATACGCACAGCTCTGGGCTCAAGCTTTGTCTTCACGACCACCATCATCAGCTCTGTAGGAAGGTGCCGGAGACCTGGACTCCAGCCTCCCTTTGAAAGGCATACCGGCCGAGATGCTTAGGTCTGCCAGATGAAAGGAGCTTGGGACCTGGACTCCTGCGTCTCCCAAGATAGCTAGAGCCTGGGGGTCTCTGTTTGGGTCCTAAAGGGGGAGGGGTTGGGAGAAGGGGCATCATAACTGACCTAGAAAGCTCCCGTCCTGCAACTACTATGACATCACTGGCGCTCAGAACCCAAATAGGCCAAGGGGAGGGGCTCTCGCACAGACAAAGCTGCCCTGCCGGCTGTGGTCCCCAGCCTGTGTTTCTCTCAGGACCTTGGAGGATGAATTCTCGGGTGTAAGGCTGCAGAAGCTGGAACAACAGGTATGGGCCGGAATCCCACTCTTCGTCTTCCCAATCTTCCCCGAGGTTGCTCAGAGACCCCAATCCCATGTTCGTTTTTTCTGAACATCAGGTTCTCAAATTAGGAAAAGAGAAAGTAGGAATTAGATTTTATTTTGAAACAAGACCTTGCTGCCTAGCCCAGGCTGCTCTCCAGCTTGCATCTTGGCCCTGGAATTACAGTTGTGAGCCATTGCGCTTGCTTTGTTTTGCTTTAAACTAAATCTATTCTGCGATAGAGCCCACACACGCTATGGCACGCATGTGGAGACAACTTGCAGGAGCGGGTTCTCTCTTGACAGTGTAGATCCTGGGGCTAGAACTCAGGTAGTCAGGCTTGCTGGAATAGCGAGCACCTTTCCCCATGGAGCCATCCACTCCTCTGTCGCCTGTGCTGACCTCGTTCTTGCTCTCATCTTCTTCTGTTTCTGGACTTTACAGATGCCAGTCGTTCTACCTGCCTTTGTATTTTGAAACAGGGTCTCCCCAAAGTGTCTAGGCAGGCTTGGATATTGCAATCCTCATGCCTCTGCCAGGATGGCAGCCCAGGCTGAGGAAATGTGTAAGGAGTGAAAGTTCTTGGGAGCTGGAGAGATGGCTCAGCAGTTAAGAGCACTGACCATTCTTCCAGGGGAGCTGGGTTCAGTTCTCATGGCATCTCACAACTGTCTGTAACTCCAAGATCTGATACCCTCACAAAGACATGCATGCAGGCAAAACACCAATGCAAACAAAATAAAAATAAATAAATTAATAAAAAAAAAGTTCTGGAGGGCTGGATTCCTAGTTCTTGAGAGGAGTTGGAAGTAGATCTGATCTGACCAGAAAGGACTAGATAGACTGAGGGACTGGGTATTTGGGACCTCAACGGAGGAAGGAGGAAGGGTACCTGGACTCTGCCAGGCCAATCTCACCCCGCCCACCTCTCTGGTTTCTGTCCTCACCACACACCCTTCTTGTTTCTACAGCGGCAGCTATTTAAGAAGAAACAGCGCAGGAAGCGCCAGGAACCCCTCATGGTTCAGGCCAATCCTGATGCTTCCCTGAGGCACCGGCGACGGAGGCGTGGGGACGATCGCTTCCAGAGTGACAGCGGCTGGGGACTCGGTCTGATGGAAGGGATTTCTGGGTGCTCCAGAGTGGGACTTATTGAACACTGGAGGGGTGGAGCCTAGTGAACCCTGCTGGCTGCTGGAGGGGCTGGCCTATAGATTTCAGGATTGGTGGGGCCTAATTGCATCAGAATAGGGAGTTTATGGTAGAGGATTGGGGGCAACTTAAGTGTGGGGTTTTATGAAGGAACAGGGGTGGGTGGGACCTCATCCATCCCGGGGCAGAAGATTGCTTGGGCTGTGGGTTTCTTAGGAGCCATTCCAATAAAACTGAGCCCTTGAGATTACCTGGTCCTTTGACAGTTCCAGGTGGAGTTTAGGGCCAGAGGGCCAGACCCAAAAGAATTCAGGAACTGGCTTTATCAGAACCTAGTAGAGTCTGAGGGAACCCGGACTCCCCAAAAGACAGAAGTTCTGCTGGGAGAGCAGGATTTCACTTTGTGTGTGTATGTGTGTGGTACTAAGGATCAAAACCTAGGGTAACATGCACCCAGTCGTGTGCCTTTCTGAGTTTTGTTTGGGATTTTGGGAGGTGATGCATGCATCTCATGCTGCAGCACAGGCTATCCCGTATCTTGCTATGTAGTGCAGGATTTGAGGCTGTCCTCCTACCTTCCTCAGGAGACCCTTTTAAAACGGGCTGCTTTGCACTTTTCCCCAGGCACTGGGAGTCCTCTCCTCCAGAAGAACACAGCACAGACACACCTGCCCTCCGGGGCCCACAATGCCCTGGCCACCATGAACTATGGTGGAGATGGTAGTGGCGAGAGGGCCCCTCTATTGTCACACAGAGGAGCAGGTAAGCTTGGGATTCCACCCATTCTCTCCTGACACTGGGGTCTGGTCTGGAGCCTCCTCCTCTCACACCAAAGGACCCTAAATCTGAAACTTTTCTCTAGTGTACACGCGGGGCACTGGTGCTGCATTCCACTACCTACGCTGGCTCCCAGACAGCTCGGATTCAGATGTGGAGGAAGTGAGCATGGAGGACATCCCTGTCATCCCCCCACCTCCCAAGACACATATGGCAAACCGTCGCAGGGGCTGGCTAGCCTCCCCAGGACCTGGTAATTTCAGGGACAGGGGAGTGAAATGTGGTCCCTGGGTCACATGACAAGTTGTCTTCCTTGCTTTGGTTAACAGCTTATCTATGAGATATCATAACTCATGGGTCTCCCAGTTCATCCGTCTAATCCCTGTTATAGTGTATTCAGATATAAAACATCACCACATCAGAAGTATTTATCTGCACTAATTTTGGGAGGGTCAATCTCTATGTATCCCTGACTGGCCTTGAATTCACAGAGATGCACTGGTTTCTACCTCCTTGTGTTCTGGGATTAAAGGTATGTTGCACCACACCCAAATTATTAATTGTTATTATTATTTTCATTTTTCAAGACAGGGTTTCTCTTTGTAGATCTGACTGTCCTGGAACTTCCTCTGTAGACTAGGTTGGTCTCAAACTCAGAGATCCACCTGCCTCTGCCTCCCAAATTCTGGGAATAAAGGAATGCACCACCATGCCTGGCTCAGATTATTTATTTTGATTCTTTTTGGTTATGCGTATGTGCATCTGTTTTTGAATGTGAGTGCAGTTCCAACAGAGGCCAGAAGAGGGTGTCAGACCCACTGAAGCTGGAGTTAGATGCATTTGTGAACCATCAGACTTGAGCACTGGAAAAGGAACTCTATTTCTCTACAAGAGGAGAATGTGGGGCTGGAGAGATGGCTCAGCAGTTAAGAGCACTGGCTGCTCTTCCAGTTCGATTCCCAGCATCCACATGGTGGCTCACAACTGTCTATAACTCCAGTTCCAGGGAATCTGACACCCTCACACATGCAGGTAAACACCAATGCACATAAAATAAATAAATCTTAAAAAAAAAAAGCAGGGGGCTGGAGAGATGGCTCAGTGGTTAAGAGCATTGCCTGCTCTTCCAAAGGTCCTGAGTTCAATTCCCAGCAACCACATGGTGGCTCACACCCATCTGTAAAGAGGTCCGGCGCCCTCTTCTGGCCTTCAGGCATACACACAGACAGAATATTGT